ACAGTGGCAGCAAAAGCGTAAAAATTCACCTCAAAGATTGAACTAGGGAGTCTGTGTCTTGGAGTGTCTATTAAATTTTGGAAACAGGGCTGATCAATTTTATTTTCTAGCTTCTCAACAACAAAAAAAACTTAGTAATTGAAGTATTTTACATTGTAGAAGAATCCTATCACTATTTTTCAGTGTATAATACAGAACTCATTTTCAGTTTTCTGTTTAGTTGTCTGGTATTGGTTTATTGATAGATGTTTAGCAGGGAAAAATTGTGAACTATAACTTCTTCACCCTGTTACTTTTTTAAGAGTTCTGGAGACTGTAAATGTTCACATGTTCTACTGAAAGATTGCGAAAGTAACATTCATTTATAACATTTGAAGGATTATTCATGGAAAAATTATGCAAAGGAAAAAAACAGTGAGATCCTCTGGGATATGTGTAAACTTTTCCAAATGTTCTTGCCACAGACCACTAAACAGCACTCAGCTCATTCTGATGAAGTTGTCTTATGTTCTCTAATGCAAACAATTTTTAATAATGTTTTAATATTTTTATACAATATTTTTTGTGCATGTCAGCATAACCTTGAAAATGATTCTGAGAAATAATGAGAACCAAACTAACCCCTGTTTATGCCAGCTGACTGGAAAATCCTACTAAGAGTGCTTTGTCTCCATGAAAGGCAAAATAACAGAATAGCAATCATGGTAACAGTATGCACTAGGAGTGGAGCCAGGAGAGTAAGGAGAGTTAGCAGTAGCAGATGACTTCAGTTACTGGGGGAAAAAAATGGGCAACATAATCTCAAATGAATTGAAGTTTTGGAATTTTGTTATAAGCACTATCAGGCATAGATTGCCGAGATAATTCCTCAGCAGTCTGGTATGTCCATAAACATCCCTTGGCTGTGCAGCATTCATCAATATCTCACCATTTACCCTCTTTGGCATCCTTCTTGGCACAATCTCACTTGTCTTTTACTCCTTAACAGAAATGAGGTCATCTCTCTTGTGCTTTATAACTCGTACGACACTCTTTACACCCCTGACTTCTTACTGAACTGAGTGTACCCTGCAACAGAATTCCAGCCTAATGAGAGCTCCAAACTTTGCAGTTCTTCTTTGTAGACATTTGACAGAAGAGTAGATGTAAGATTTTGTAAAAGATTCTTTTTGCCTTAACACAAACTCAGTAGATCCAGATGTTTGTTTCTTTCTCTTGACTTGGGGATGAGGAAGAAGCAGAAATACACAGAAAATAACTTCTTCAGACAGTGCTATATCAGCACAGCCGATATTTCTGTCTGCACTTTTTCCCCACAAATCGTTCTTTTCTCTATTATCAGGATCTTCCCTAAAGACATCTAACCAGGAATTCAAGTCCTTTATCTCTTTTCTCAGGACTGGTCAAAGAGATTGTGATTACCTTATTGAATAGCAAGGAAGCCAGACTGGAACTGTTGGCTTAAATTGTAAGGTTCCTACACCTGTTCTGACAAATTCTGTCACCATTGGGGCATCTCACCATAGTTAGGCAGTATTTTAACCTGAAAACGGATAGAATAGTTGTCAGTCTTCAATCTGAAATAAACAATCCCTAATCATATTACGTGATTTGTTTCGGTTCATTTTAATAATTTTTTTTCTGTTCTGAAATTGTCCAAGTAATAAAAGCTCTTGTTATAATTAAGTTATAATGATCACTCAAATATTTTTCTTTTTATTAAATTCACATTAATGTAAATTTCACCCCAGGTTTTCTAAAGGGGGATTTTTTTTTTTAAATTAAAGTAGACTTGTAAAGTGAAAATTCAGAAAGAGCTGTTTTTGTTGGTAGACATCATCTCTTTATTTTTTTGGAAGCCTGGGTAGAGATAATATTTAGATACATAAATACTTAAAATGCTAGGAGACAAATCCATCTTGACTTTGATTTTGTTATGGCTTGACTGTGTTAGCACAATACCTGATACTTTGCTGTTCTTTCTCTGGACAAAATTTTTGATACTTTGTGCCAATGACCACTGTCTTACAACCAAATTAATCAAGTAGTCTTACTGCTTTGAACTCAGTGGCTCTTCACAGTGAGATACTTAATCTGTTAGACTGTCATGTATTATGTCTAAGCAACTTTATTAATTTTTTTGATAGTGCAGTGTCTGTGGAAATCATGCTGAAACACACTTAAGGGTTTGCCCTTAAGACTGCAACTCTTTCACAGACTAAATTTGCAACAAATTATTGAATGGTGTGTTTCAAATTATTGAACGGTGTGTCACTGAACTATGTCATCCATTTGCAAGGATTTACTGTAAAATGTGATTTAGAACTGACAGTAGCACCAGAAAGATCTGAACAACACAACAGAAGGCGAGGCAGAACTAATTATGTAGTCTGATTAAGGAGTGGCACAATTAGTATCTTACAAGGTATTAACAGCAACAGTAACCCCTGAGTGGCTACATTAACACTGAAGTTTTAGCTGAATTTTGTACTGCACTCTTGCTTAATATGTATCCTCCTAATTTTCAGGAAAATTTTCCTCTGTCACAATCTTCATGCTGGATCTCAGCTCTCAAATATTTTGAGCTTCTAACCAGGTAGTAAACATGACAGTATTTCTAAGTATGGTAATGTTTCACAAGTTGAAAATACCTGATGGAAAGACATTATAAACTGAGCTTGCTGAACTCTGTTTCTTCTGAACTCAGTTTGTCAGCAGAGCTGGACATTTTCAGACAAAAAGTTTCAGACAAAAAAAGTTTTGCTGAATCTTCTGCATGCATTTAAGTGGTCTTCATTCATACGTTAAGAATTCATGATGAAATGTAGTTAAGGACAACAGAGAAATGTACCTTCTTGCTAGTAAGACTCTGGGTCTGAAATTCCTGCCTGTTGGTGAAATATTATTTCAAAGAGTTTTTACAATCTATTAGTCACCAACTAATCATGCTCAGATTAATTATTTTTATATTCAAATTTTTGCTCAGCCTCCATGGCAGAAGAGGAGGGTTAATCCTATTCACCCTGGGGAAAAAGCCTCCACTGTCTTCTTACAACCCAGACACAACATTTTAATTGAAAATACAGCAGAACATTGTACTAAGTCTTTTTCTTCCCACCTCCCAGGCATATGGTTCTTGTTGAATTTCTGGATCAAGAAATGATTTAAAATGCATTTTTTTAGAATTACGTGTGACCTTTAAGCATAAGACCTTCTCTGAAGCCACATATGCTAATGACTCATGCTACAATAGTGTCATGCTTCACAAATTCTCAATTGCAATAAACAAATGATAGCAAAGCCAAGTAGGCAGAAGTCTGTTTGCATGTATGATGGTATGCAGAAAGAAAGCAGAAAACAGCATTACAAAGTGTTTTCCTTTTCTTCTCCTACTAAATTATGATCTGATGAATAGTATTAATGAAGATTCTTGCAATGAACTTGTTTCCCCTCTGTCAGATGCTGGAAATTGTCTCCTCTTTCTCCTTTTTTTTGAGGATCCATTAATTGTTATTTAAACTGCATAACAAGCATTTTGCTCAAATGTTGCAGAACACTGCTTGGATGAAGATTTTCCCTTTTCTGCTCTTGAAGACTCTCTGTAATTCTTCATAATGATAACCCAGTTCAAAATGAAATTCCAGAGCCTAAGCTATGTGGAAATAAAAATACAAGTAATTTGGAATTAATTCCTTTATTTCATGCATCTGCATTCAAATCTATACTGCAGAGTGGATAAAGACAGTAAAAGATCTTTGCATCTGTTCATATTATTTTTTTGCCCATTATTAGGACAAACTCATTACTTGTTGTCCCGTTCCTTTTTCCATCCCATGCATTTTCACTTCTCCCTTGAAGAAACTGATGAATTACTTCTATGCTTGGGAGGTGTTGAAGTAGGCTATAGGGCAAATGCAGAATCATTTCTGTTACTAGCATGTCTTCACATCTCATTTTTAGTCTGTGCCCTAGAATGGTGGTTATTTCCTATTTCTCTTTATCTATAATTTGAGTTCAGACACTTTTGTAAGGATTCTAATGATAGCTGTCTGTGTTTTTCACATCAGAAAGTTTGTGTCTCTACTGAACTCTTAACAGGTGATTAGAGGTTAGAATAAGAACTGAATAAGCTGCAGTCACTGGAGTGTACAAGAAGTAATTTCTGTAAATGCAGGAGGTCTCTCTTGCTATTACTTAAGCTGTACCAAGTCTGGAGATAAGTAGGTGTGGGACAGACAGCCACATTCATGACCACCATTTCAATTTCTGTCAAGAGTACTAACATCACAACTAAATGTTTAACAGTGAAATCTTAACTGTTTATTGTGACGCCAAGAGTAGCCATATATTCACTGAGGATAATAGGCCTTATTCTCCACTGTATTGCAGAATTCACTGCCAGTCTTTTGTAGACTGCATCAAGGAACTGAAGCTAGAACAGCTTGTCCGTGTTTTCTATGGGGCCTCGTAAAGTCTGTAAAATGAGAGGAAGAATAATTGTAGTGAAACATCCCTAAGCCTCATAGTGAGAAGCAGTACATCTGTCTGGCTGTAAGACAAATGAAAAACCCTTGCTTTCTCTTACATGCTCAAATTGTGAGTCAGTATGAGCAGACTGTTTACAGTTTATTCGCAACATGGAGTTGTAAGTGAAACTCTAAACATGTGTGAACATTCCTACTCACACCCGAGATACAGACTGACTTTATGGCTCTGCATGTTGCATTTTGGCACATACAACTATTGTAAGGGTGCCAAGACTTTTTGTAGGAGTTCACTGTTGAAAGTATGTACAAAGATGTTTTAAAGATTACTTCCAGGCACTTCAAGTATATAGAGACTAATTCATAGCAGAAATGAATGCTATGGATGCTATACTCATCAGAAATCATGTCTTCAGGATATCCGCAAGAGTTAATTTTAATCAGCTGCTAAACACACAAGCCCATTAATTTCTGGGCTTTACCACAGTTCAGTGTTAAATAATCTCTGTCTTTTAGGTCCAGCTGAAGTGTCAGCAGTTATGAAATTCAGCAGGAGACCAACATGTCCCGATACCTCAGTAGCAGCAAGTCTGTCTACACCTCCTATACCAAGGCATAGGAAGAGTCACAGCCTGGGAAACAAGTGGGTACTGCAGGTTCCCTCACTCAGGCAGTTTCGTGCATCACCGAGGTTTAATCTGGCAGCAGAACACTTCGGTATTTGCTTCTTCCCTTTCCTGTACTGCCAGAGTGCTTCAGGCTTTGCTATGTATTCTCTTAAGTTTTCTTTTGACATTTGTGTTTTTTGCTGGCAGTATTTGCTCGTCATTCTTGAAAGCTGTGACCTTTTGCACTGTTCTACAAATGAGACACTTTGCTAGCTAAGTACGAGCACCTGCTCTCCAGTTAAGGCGAGCATATACCGAATTTCACGTTTAATGGGTTAAGGAAACCCATCATAGTTCATGATTGATGTGTTTGTTCAACTTAGTGCCCAGTTATCTGCTTGCTACCTAATAACCTATAGACTATATTTTGTGTTCATGGTATGATAATGTAGAGCCTGAGTAGAAATATCAGATGGAAATGGTTGTTATCAGATGACATAAGAGGGTTCTTGCATTTTTCTCTTTCTAAATTTCCAGCATGATGTGTCAGTTCAGTGTGGTGGAGAGCAAAAGCGCCACTTTCCCGACAGAGAGGCCGCGCCACCTTCTGGATGACAGCGTCCTGGAGTCACAGAGCCCGACCCGCAGCCACATACTGAACTCGCTTTTCACCAATGGCATTTCCATAGGTAGAGACTGAGTGGGGGACTGACTTACCTGGTTTTCCCTCGCAGTTCTCTTGTGAAGTCATAGAGCAATACAAAATCAAGGAATTAGGAAGCTTAGTAGCTCCTGGGCAAAGACTGTGCTACTGTATAGAAGAAAGGAGATCGGTGTTACTTCTCACTTACTTAGTTGACTGTATTTCATTCATTTCACTCTTTTATCACTCTTGGGCAAATGAAAATGTAGTTAAATAGCTATGCCAGGGAAGGACAGACAGATGGGTCAAGGGCTTGGATGAGAAATAGGGGCTACCAGTGTGAATTCCATTTCACTGATTTGTTATGACTCCTAGTAGCAGCTGGCATACCATCTGTTGCAGGTGTGCGTGCTTGTAACAAACAAACAGTCATATCATGTCTAATAATTTTAATTGACTTGCAGATGTTATGCTAGAAATGTTGTCTTACAGAGTAATTTGATTTTGTGTTTCTGAAGTATTCAGCTTTTAACTGAAAGACAGCGTAATGAAAATAAAAGCAGTGTGCAGATTTCTGGTATTTAAATACAACAGCAACAGTGACTTCATTCATCAGTGATACATTACAAAAGAGAGGGGCTGATATAAGCCTCCTCTGATTTTAGATGGTTTTCTTACTCCTTCTCTGTTCACCATTTTTTCTAGATAGCAGTGAAAGCTCAGAATTTAGTGAGGAGCTGCCGTCAGGGCTTGAAAGGTGAGTTAATTTTCATTTCCTCTCACTGAGCACTAACCTGATTTAATACTAACAGATTTAGAGAAATTCCTGAATGATCTGTACCATAGATAAGTCCTAAAACAGTGGTTATTTTTATGTTTTTGTTATTATCACTTAAATTTTAAAAATGGAGAACTCTAGAATAAAACGCTGTAATGTTGTGTTTTCTTTTCATCGACGTGAAAAGATCTCTTTCATGTTTACCAGACCCTAATTGTTGAAATCTCAGACTAGATTTTCATTCGCTGAATATCTGCATGTGCAAATAGGGGCCGTTTATATGCCACACTGGGGCCGAATTGGAGGGTGCCAATCCGGAATTCTCCCAGGAGTCGAAGCTGTATCTACAGGTACAGTTCAGGCCTCTCTTGCTCAGTTTACGGTGATAAACTTTCACTTGGGCATCTACATTTTCCTAGCCTAAGGTATTTGTGTCCAAGGGTATCCTTGCATGATACATTAGCATTTTTGATAAACTTGTTTTTAATAAAACTATCTGTGACAAGTAATGTTATTAGAAAGATGCCTTTTTAACTCTTTCTCAGAATTTATTTCCTGAGTTATAGGATAGCTACCCATAGCATCTGCTTGTGTCAGAAAGCATATAGGATATGTTATTTTTGTACAGCATAGAGGTGTGGCATTGGACCCTGAGTAGGAGAGGGAACATCTGTACTGCTTATGTAGCAGGTACTTCCAATGTTGCTTGCTGCTAAAACATGCACTTTTTATTAACGGATAATTAGTTTACAGCCCAAAGAGAGGTGATGTGGAAAACTGTGTATAGTTAAAGTGATAAAAAACATTCACTGTATCCATGCCTGACTAAACTTCCAGATAAATTCTGTGATAGTTGCAAGTGAGGTATGTGTAAGTAGTAAGTATATATAAGAAGTATATATAAACAACAGGCCCCAAATATGGTATTCTGCAAATACTGACATTTAATTGGAGTTTAAATCCAGTCAGTTTTGTTTTGTCTAAATTAGTTTGCTCTGTCAAAATGTTGTAAATGTAAGAATAGTCATTTTGGCTGAGCTAGTGACATTTGACAGCAGCCCAAGTTAGAAGTTATGCAGGAATGTAGATGTATACATTAAAAATAAGTAAAAGAATACATATTTTAACAATATTTCAACTAAACCTGCTTCTGGAAAATATTCTCTTATACATGCCTATGGCAGATTTGTTTCAAAATTTTATGTACACAATAAATGTAAAATGTAAGAAGATAAAAATGAGATACACATATTAAATCCACAAAGAACTGTTCCCTAAAATACATTTCTTACATTTATCCACGATCAAGTATTTCTATTGCTTGCATTCATTCTTCGTTTTCTGGAGTCTTCTATTTATTATATTAGAAAATTAGAACTGGAAAGAATATACATTAGCATAGATAGGGCAATCTATTTGATTATAGAAGTCACAGTTGCCACTTTGAAGTGAAGGTCTTGTATAGGTGTCATTGCTTTGTATATCACGTTCACCAGCCTGTTCTTTGTAATACCATCATAGTTGTTCTTAAACAGACTCATTCTCCTTTCGCAGATGACGGGTAGGTCATATGCATGTCCTTTTTCTTGTATTCGTTATCAGACATGATTTAATTGTCTCAGGTGAACTGTAGTATCCCTTATCTTTATAGAACTATCAGAGCTGTGATCACAGGACAATTAAAAGAGGTTAGCAGCAGGTAATTCTAGAAGATATCACTTATGAATCGATCTTTGGTTGTCATGTTCTTAGTGACAGTGTACATTTCTAACTGTACATAAGTTCTTTCAGTTGTAGCACTTTTTCACTGTAATATATGGGAAGTTCTGTGGTTGTATTGGGCAAGGAAAAAAATATCTTAATCACTGTACAGTAAGTAACTTGACATTGTTATTTAGTTATCCCAACTTTTTTCCAAATAGCCAAGGTAGCATTCCTTTTTTGATAGCTAAATTACAGCCTCCAATTGCTAAAATTTTAAGCTACTTTCATACATTTAAATAATGTCTTGAATTTACCCAAATAAAATAGAAAATTGCTGATTTTTCCTTTGACTTCAGGTCTCTGTATTTCTTTTGTTTTGTTTTTAATGTCTGAGTTCTGAGAATAGAATCTTTTCTTAATGTACTGTGTTTAAAAAGCCCTGATTCTTTTTTGGTGTATAGGTCTGAAAAATAGATATTTGCAGAGTTGTGTCTAATGCTACACTATATTCAAGGCAATGCAGGAAAAATAGATTTAAATTATATTATTTGTTTCTTGCTTGTATTTTTTTCAAAGCATATGATAATGTTATGATTCTGTAGCCCAACAGGAGCCTGCAGCTGCACATTAGGTAGTTCCATGGGAGTAGTTACCATGGAAGGCCCCTTAAGAAGGAAAACATTGCTCAAAGAAGGCAAGAGACCTACTGTAAGTGATTCTAATTCTCCTTGGGATTCTAATTCAATAGCAATTGTTTTAAATTTTCAGGATTAGATTCAGTTTTAACTGTTTTATAACAAGTTTGTAATCCTTGGATATCATTTGATCTGCGGCAGCTTTGCTTCTCCCTTCACTTGAAACTAATTTCTCTAGGTCGTGGCAGCAAAGCAAGACAAAGCATCTCTCTCACTTGACATGCCTTTATGTCAGGGCAGAAATTTAGTATCATGGTGAACTGAGAAGGCTGCAGGGCATCCACCTTTAGCATCAAAGCCATGGATATTCATAATTACCCTATATTCGCAGGTTTCCAGTGAATTGGTATTTTTTTTGTTTTCTTCTGAGTTCACTTGAAAGCTTTTATGTAGATCCCTACTGTTCAATCCTAGAAGATTTGAAGAACACAGGAGTGTCATCTCAATAAATGTTGTTGATCAGAGGCAGAAGTCTAAGTAGAAGGCAGCACACTGTACAAATCAGTCCTGATGTTTTGTGGGATACAAAGTAAGATGGCTTGCATTCACAGCCAGCCACCCAAGTTTAGATATCTGGTATGATTTATACTAGAAAACACTCTATTCAGATCCTCATTCTTTGCATCTGAACTTAACTTTTTTAGCACTTGGACTTGCTAGTGAATAGTTGGGTTTTTTTTAATGTCCAAAATATTAAATTTCCATTATCTTTTTCCCTTCTGATTTAGCTTTCTTCATGGACTAGATACTGGATTATGCTTTCAGGATCAAATCTTCTGTACTTTGGAGCAAAATCTTTAAGAGGCAATGAAAGAAAACATGTAAGATTTAAATTTGTTCTAAAAGCACAATCTGCATATTCGTAGACTGATCTGAAAAGTGTATTTTTAGTGTACTTGCTATTCTTCTAGGGTAAGCAATATGTCTGCACAACTTCTACAACAAAAAATTAATCTCCAAAATGTTCTTAGGTATGACATACTTTTCTGTCTCTTGCAGTATAAATCTACACCTAGTAAAAAGATATCCATTGTGGGCTGGATGGTGGCACTGCCTGACGACCCTGAACATCCTGATATTTTTCAGCTAAATAACCCTGACAAAGGTAAATTTTTCAGGATGGACATTCCCTGAATTTCTGTGATAGAAAGTAGAGCTATAGCTATTTGGTGAGTTTGTCAATTATAGGACTTACAGTGATACTCATTTGAAAGCATGAAGAGATATTTTCAAGGGAGGATACAAATTAAGTTGAACATCTGCGATATTCTGCACTGCCTACCTCTCTGGTGCCCACACGTATTGCTGCATCTTGACAGTTACTGTAAGATTTGTGGATATTGCCTGACTAATGAGACCCTAATCTCTGAGTTTCTGAATAGCTTTCTTTGAATTGGACAATACCAAATCTTGACTTACAGTGGGGAAAATTACAATATTATGAAAATTCTTCAAACATCAAGCCATTTACCTAAAAAGCTTTTTATTCTTCATTACTTTTTAAAAACTTAATTTTGAAGTGCCATAATTCTTCCAACTTGACCAAACTTTAAAAAAAAGATCAGAAAGATGCAAAATATTTTGTTTTTTGAAAAGTTATATAAAGATTTTTGAGCCTTCTTTCACTTCTGATGTGATCAGCTTCAGTACTGGACAAGTGCATCTCTTGGTTGTTGAATGAAATGCATGGTATATTTGATAGCAAGAAGCAATTTACAAGATGTCAAAGCATGGAGGAGGCACACAGTAGGACACTGAAGAAAATTTTGATCACAAATATCAAAATAAGAAGTTTGGCAGTTACTAACGACAGTCTTAATGAGAATAGACACAGAAATAAATCAGATCCACTCACTGGTCCTAACTGGTCTTTTCTGTAGCTGCAGTTTTTCCTCTTTTCCTATACACTGCTCTTAGCTTTGCAGAACACGTATGTTCTCATGCTGCCTTCACCCAGGGATTATTAAATAACATGGCTCACATGGGCTTTTTTATATGAGCCCCATACTCCTCAAATGTGAATTCAACAATTTGCTTCAGGACTTCTGCTTCTGTATAGGAATCAGAACCCACTGAAGCAGTATGTCTGTTTGCAAATTGAGAGCCCTTGATTCTCTTATTTTTATAGGTAATGTTTACAAGTTCCAGACTGGTTCAAGGTTTCATGCAATATTATGGCATAAGCATTTGGATGATGCGTGCAAAAGCAACAAGCCTCAGGTAAGACTGGGAAACCGCCTCTACCTGCTTTTACATATTTTGCAGAAAACCCTTAATAGGAGACACTTCTTTTAAATCTGCGTGCAAATACAGTCCTGTGTGGACAAGTCATTGCACGCTGATCCAGTTTTTCAATAGGAGGAATAAAAAGTGTTTAAAACTGCAGAGTACCCACCTGAAATCAAGATTAGTACCAGTCTACCTATAAGTTTGGTGACATTAACAGCATACAACCTCTGTAATTGCATCTTCAAGTAGTAATATAACCCTGTCTTTACTTCGTAAGGGACTTAGTCATGAATGAAGAAAGTAGCCAACATACTAGCAATTAAACTGATGACTGGGTTTATAACTACCATTGAAGAGAGTGTCCTATAAAATGCTTCATAATGTCCTTTATATAGCAGCTTCATTTTTCAGGGGGAAAAAAAAAAAAAAAGTTAATTCTTGAAAAGTTTCCAGGGGCTTATATTAATAGGATGCTCAACTACTCAGGACACGTAACAGGGCACAGCTCAAGAATCTTATTTACACATACCTGCACATCCCATGCATACTAGTAATTTCTTGGACTGGATTTGGTCCACAAGGATAAAAATCATTTGAAGTTTTTATGTTTTCTTTCAGTTACGGTGTTAGCTGTCTTTTGTACCTTTTTGAGACTGATGACACTTTCTCATTGAATAACATGTTGTTGGCCCACTGGATTTATATTATATAGCAGGGAAAATTTTCACTCAGAGGGTGGTGACGCACAGGAACAGGCTGCCCAGAGAGGTTGTGGATGCCCCATCCCTGGAGGTGTTCAAGGCCAGGTTGTATGTAGCGCTGGACAACGTGACCTGGTGCCTGATTTAGTGGTTGGCAACTCTCTCCCCACGGCAGGAGTGTTGGAACTAGATAATCTTTGAGGTCCCTTGCAATCCAAGCCATTCTATTATTCTATGATTTTGTAACTTTGCAGCTTCCCAGTGCTGTAATATGCTGAGGAGCAATATGCTGCTGAATAATGTACATTCTCTTCCAGGCACCTGCTAATCTAATGTCATTTGAATAATTTGCTCTTACCTGATGTGACTTCAAGTGCCAAACTGAAGAAACAAGCTATTGTTCTCTGAGGAAGAGGAGAAAATAATAGTTTTCCTGATGTAAGCCAGCCACAACTACTTCAGCACTTTCGTGTGCTACTTGAAAGTGATTCTGACACAGCTTTTAAAAGCAGAAAGTGAATGTTGTCCTTAGAACCAGATGTAGTCTCATGCACTGAGTGGAAGTAGACCAGTTAGATGGACAGAAGATTAATCCTGACTCCTGCAGGATTCTAGAGTTTTCAACTTTCTGTGGTCGCAGACTGCCTCTGAACTGATGTTTGACCACAAAGTGAGCATCATATCTTCTGCCTATCCTTTTTTAAATTGCTCTTTTTATTGTAAAGCTGCTTTATGTGACTGAAGAACATTTGGCCCATGTTGGGTTTCAGTTCTTTCTAATGCACAAAATAATTGACAGTGTTAACTTGCTGCAAAGTGTCAGTTAGGATAGAAAATTGTGGGACAACTTTTTTATAACATAAGTGCACTGAGTTGCTTTGCAATGTGGCTGCCTCAGATTTTATATAAAATCTCTGGACAATTCTTTTGTTCAAATTTGAGCTATGTGGTAAAAATGTATTTTGGCACAGAGCAGTCATTTTTATTTGGTTACATTATTCTGGAATACCTTGACAATGAATTTGAGGTGTATAGTTTTAAATTTAATGTTGTGTTAAATGTCTTTTTTTGTTTTCTTACTAGCCATATAACTGTTACAGTTTGGTTTTTGTTTGTTTGTCTGTTTGTTTTTTAAATCTGAATATTGTTCATCGTAAAGGGAACTGCTATTCCTTGATACAGGGTAGCAGATAATCAGGTTGTATGATACACATTGTGGTGACTCCTCAGAATGACTTCATAACATTATTTGCTGTTCTGTCTTTCTGTTGGTTACTCAGCCTCACTTAATTCCAGTACGTGATGAACTTTTGTGGCATACAGTCATGGTACTGCATTTCTAAAATCATGATGGCAATGAAAGCTAGGCAAGACTGTCTGTTAGTGCTGCAGTTATGCAGAAGCCTCTACATTTACGCCCACAGAATTTAAAAGGTAAAAACAGCAACAACCAGCCTTCTCATTATCTGAGCCTGTTCCTGTAAAGGAACTCTTCCTACACCCATAGCTGTATCCTGGCTGTGCCGTAGCACCAGTGTAGTCACAGCTCTTTTCTATTCCCACGATAAGTTCAGTGCTTTTTTGGTTAAAAACTCTTCTGCTGTAAGGCATTACTAATTAAACCTTGTTAATTGTAGGAAGAGGAAAATCTCGTCTGTGTTTCCTAAGACTGCATGGAGGAGAGATTTGCAAGCCAAGATCTAGATTACAGACCATGAAAAACTGAAAGTCAATTTCAACAAACAGAGCCTATATTAGATCAGTTTTGCTCATATTAGTGGTATTTGTTCTGTGGCCTTTTGTAATTTTCTGAGTTTTGATTTTGAAACTTCTCTAACAACAGTCTGTACTGTTGTGTGTAGATTGACTGTAACTTTTGTGTGATTTTGAGTGGTCCTGACAGCTCCTGTGTGTAGGTCCTGAGACATGAAAATTTATGTGGAGTTGACAGGTATTCTTTGATGACACAAGTTGTGTGGGGGGAAAAAAAAAAAAAAAGCAAAATATATTTATACTTTTTTTCTCCTTGCAAAGGCAGAACATCCAGGACTACAAATGTAAAATATAAAGCTTTTGAATGTAGTGAATCAGTAAATCAATTAAAACTGTTAGAATACATCATTGGAATTATTCTGCACTTGTTACTTCAGTGATTAGTTATCAGCAAGATTATTCGTAAGGACACAGGTTACATGGATCGCCATTTTACTGAGTATGCCACCTATAGCCATGTGTGTTCTGTGTTTTTGGCGTCAATATGGTTTGAACCATATGCAGTTTTGTCACTACTTTAGATTACACTTAAACCCTTAAGGCTAGGGAAAACTTCTAAATCCTTCTGTAGAAACATAATTTGTGTTAAAAGGGCTACTGGAAGACTGCCATAGCAGAAACATCCCTGCATTACTGCTTTAAATGTGAGCTACCAAAAACTACCCCAGAGGAAATTGGTTCTTTCTTTTAAATCATTTTAAAATGAATTATCTCTTCTTGTTGCAAAGTAAGACTTATTTATTTCTCTAACTATGGAAAACTCTAAAATTCTTGTAAAATAGCAAAATAAACAAATGTTTCTGTTCTGCATCAGTATGCATTTGGCCATCATGAGCAAAGAAGAACTTGTCTGAGATCATGTCAAAAAAGTCACAGAAAGTTTACTGAAAAAACAGTTAAAATACTGCCCATTATACTTTCTGGTGGTCTAACAAATAAATACCTAGTAAAGAAGGTATTGTCTACCCAAATGAAATCTTAGCTGCAAACTTCAAGAACGGTGACCAAAAAACAACAGTGCGTGTAAAGTTTTATTAAGTTACTTTATTGGTAAACCTTTCTCCTCAAAAGGGAATAACCTGATCTGTCTTAAATGTATGTTAAATTCCAAATGGAACACTTACTGGCATAATGAATATGCATTGGAAGCATGTCAACAACCACTCATTTCTGATGTGATGTTGTGGAAGACAACACCACTGACATATTGTACAGTGTACTGGAGTGAGATAAACTACTAAACGTCACAACAACTTGCAATTACATCTGACACGCCTTCCCTTGGAAAGAGGAATGATTGCCTGTACATATTCAGAACTTAATAGTGTTTTAGGTTTTAAGTGTCTCAAAAGTGTTGTATATGTTACTGTAAAATTCCTCAAAAATATGCTTTTACTCAAAATTATGTGCCATAGAGCCTTTTGGACAATTTAGAAAAGGATCAATTTTCATTTCTTTTAAAGCAGATTCCTAAATAAAAACATCGTGCCTTTGACAGAAAGGTTCAAAAATAGTGTGCCATGAATGGATGGAAACACTTACGAATTATTATTACACCCATTTATTTATCAGAGAAATATATGTGGAGAAACATAACCCTTCAAATAATACTACTCAAAACTTTGGAATTTGGAAGTGTGTCAGAAGAGTGTGAACTCCTTCACGTTATTATCATTTGAAAGTAAAAAAGCTTATAGAAGGGAGGTGAACATAATAGATAGATAATACATGATAGTCACCTTTTCAGTATAGCACAGTTATGAAATGGCCCTACAATATAAATAAATGAGAGTAATGAAGCAGTATAATAGTATTGTTAAAATATCTTGATCCAATATTAGATGAGTTTATGAGTATTAAATAGCTTGTAGCTACTGGATAAGGGTACTCTGTTGTCATTTGATACCATTTCATCTCATCGGCCACTTTTAATGGTAATTGAAAGCTGCTGTTGGCACACAGTGTATTGCAAATAAGTACTGATTAATACAGCATTTTCTCAGAAATATCACAAACCGTGCAAGTTTCCATCCAAAGAAAAACTGCAACAGTTGTAGAGAAATACATATTATCTCAGATTGACTGTTCCCAAACTTGTGAAGATATAAAATGTGTTTAGGCAATATTATTCCCTTACTTATCTACAATTTCAATGTTAGTAAGTGCCAAAATACGTTTGTCCAAATAGCACTAAAATGAGGCAAAGGCAGTAGTTTTCAAATTGCAACTTACTTGTCATATTATAGTCTAAACAAATTTCAACATTTTAGTTTGTTTTGTGTGAAAACTGTTGCACTATTTTTGGCTGTATTTTCCAGCAGTCCACTGCATGCTGTTTGTGTAAGAATTATTTCTATAATTCTCGTGAAATGTCTCACCTGCAATAACCACTAAACTCTAGCATTGGAATCTAGGTTTTTGGCAAAGTATTTTGTTACCTCAGTCTTGTATCAATATGCTGTATTTTTCAGCTTGTTACATTGATAATGTTTGTTTCATTAATTAAATAATGTTAAAAAAAAAAAAAAAAAAGATTGTTTACTTTGAAAGCAATTGCAATTGGTTGTAAATTTAAAGATGTGCAAAGTATGTATGCCATTACCAATAAAATATTTTGAAAAAGAACAGTGGAGGTACAGAAGGAACTTTTCAGCTCAAAGGCAGCAAGCACATTTTATAATACAGTAATACAGTCAAACAGACTATAGTGTGCAGTATGTAGCCATTCAATATATATAAATTCGGATACTTCTGACAGAAAATTGAAAATTCCTCCAAGTTTACATCTGTTTTAAGTAAGTAAGATTTGGAAAGTCCAAAGTAGAGGCCAACCTACTGTGTTGGTTTTTTTTTCAAAGAAAAGCATTTAATCACAACCAAATATGCATATTGATTTGGATAGCAAAATAAATTCCTTTGCATCTAAATTTAAATGTTATTTGGACTCTTGGTTTCTTTTCTCCTGCCTGCTAATGGGGAAATACATTTCATTTGCTGATAAAACTATCTGCTCTACATTACACTGTATCAGCTTAGATATACTAATAAACATAATATCTTCTGATCTTAAATCTGTTTGTTCCTTTCTCAGTGATGAAAGCAATGCCCTCTCAGAACCTTTACACACAGAGCTCTAATAAGGAAAGCCAAGCAATAAATTATTCAACAGAACTTTCTCTTGGAAGAAAAGATTAAAATGGAAATGGTTGGCAATACCCATTCTTTTTCAATAATGTATTTTATTACACGCACCATTATTACCCATTTGAGGTTAATAAGCTTCACATTAAAACTGACAAGTAGGGGGGCTTTATCTTCTGCAGAATAATGGTTTTATTGCCTGAGAAATTGAGAGATAAATGACATTACCAAATGAAGGTGAGAGCAAAACAAAATGCAAAATGCAAAAAAGATAGCTGCTTTCAGAGCTGAAAAAGAAAGCACACATCCCTTTCCTGAGGCTGACTCATTTTCCTGTTCTCTCCCAGAAACAGGAAGACTTTTTCAAGACTTCACTACATTGCAGTTCTCAAAATCACTTGGATCTGTGCAATTGTCCTCCAGGCTATTATCCATATTATAAATGTTTTATAAAGTAAGCATGGATTACTCTTTTTACATCTACCAAATGGTCAATTTCACTGATTGCATTGGTTAAAATAGTAAAAGGAAATTGGTTGGAATTCTCCTCCTAATAGACAACAGGATGGAGAATGAATGATCACACTGGGAAGAAAGAGCAACACTCATTACATTCCAGAGGGTCATTTTTATTGTTACAGAGGCAAATTTCAGGGGTGAGGACTACATTCTGTGTTGGAGTATTTCACTGTAATGCTACGTACTTCTGCCCTAGAAAAAAACAAAGATGAGTACTGATGTGCTCATAAAATGCTCATCATTTCCAAGCCTCTTATTTTGTAGACTGAGAGAAAAAGCGAAGTGGTCATTAGTAAATTTGTTCCTACTGCAAATGTCTGGTATCAAAAGGTGGTGCGTAAGTGTTAAATTGTGTTTTTTGTTTTTTTGAAGTCAGTAACATGGTATTTCTATAGCTGTGATCTATTAATAACACCTGTTCATCAAATTCTGAAAGTATGTTGGACATTTCCTTAGAATGCAAAGAAAAATGAAAGTTAGTTAAAGTTTCATGTCTCAGCAGACCTCAGATGTGAAAGAAAGCCAGATAAGCATATTAGGAAGGATGAAAATTATTTTACATCAACCAAAACATAGTTGTGCAAGAGGAAAGTGCATATAGTAATGAATTGGAGGAAGTAGCCTTGCTCTTACTGCCAGAAATCGGTTTTTCAGCTTTAAGGAAGAGTAGACATTGTTCTGAGTGGTTACTTACTTCCAGTGATTCATGCCTCAGGTTTGAAAGTATACTGTAGCTGAACATGAAGCAAACAAGGTCAGGAAACAAACAAATGAATTCTAGTGTTTGTATAGATAAAAGTCTGTGCAATTTTGCAGAAGAAGAAAAAAGCAGACAATGGCTAGAGATGTTATTTTATCCATGTTTTATTAATCAACATTACTTTAATAAAATGATCACCTTAATTCTTGATACATGGGAACACACTAGAGCTCTGGAAACACTAGCATCTAGCTGTAGTGAGATGAATTTCCCTGAAATAATACAAAATATGTGAACTTGTCTGACACAAATTAATACAGTGAATGGATGCTTTGTGATGTCTGTGATCGTGCTACCTGCCACCTTTGCCACCTTTCCATTGCTTTGCTCAGGCTGAACGATGCACCCAAGGCCTTGCTCTGGAGCATAATGATGGTAGTATTGGTTCACCTCAGGCCTTGCTCAGGCAGATGGTGACTGCAGTACTGGATAAAAAAGTGGTTGCTGGAGGAACTGATGGACGGACATCTTGTTCAACAGCTGAGGGACAATGGAGTATGTGCCGGAAATCTTAACTACGGGTCAATTATCTTACCCTATGAATAGCAAGCAGCTCAGGAGCTTCTTAAGCTCTCCTGCACATCAGCCAGCACAATAGGATCTCCCCTGGAGAAAGGATGTCTCTCCAAGGTTACACTTGCACAGAGATCCCTCACATATTGACATCGAGACACACATCCCCACACTTCCCGATACACATCCTCAGTGACTCTTTGTTAAGCTTTGTGAGCTTCACTAGGATTCTATCTTAGGTTGACTGTACACTTATGGTCGCTTAGACATAAACCATTGACCAGCATCTGAGACTAGGAATGGATCCAGTCACACCTAGGCTCCTTACCTCCATGGTTTAAGGAGTTTAGAAAAGAAGAGGGCCCGCTCTGTACCTCATGAATCAGCAGGAGGGTCTCAGTAAGTGTTTTCAGCCTTATCCTCTATACAGTAAATGATCTACTGTATCCAGTCATCTCAAGTCTTGTTAAATTACTATCTTATTTAATTAAGTGTTGTTAAATCACTATTTTCTATCAATAAATATATTGCTGCTTCTCTTTTAGGAGTGACATGTAATGCCATCAGCTACAACTTCATAGTCTTTCACAGGGCGAAGGAAGACTAAAAATGGAAAGCAAGAGAAAGGACAGCCAGCCTATTTAGAAAACGTAGCCACCAAGGAATGCTGTGCCAGGGAAGAGGAACACATTTGTACCAAAGTCTAGTTCACAATGAGCTCATTCCTTCTGCCATTTGCACAAAGCCTCAGCTGATCAAAATGAAACATTCCTCTTGCTGGCTCCTGTTTTTCCTTCATGTTATTAATAACCTGGCAACAGGATAGGGGCCAGGAAAAAAGACCTCCTAGAATGGAGAATTTACTGAAGAAACCAGAAGTGGAAGGTAGGTGTGGGAGTTTGGAGTCACTTGTATTAGGTGACATAGTTCATTTAGAGAAGGAGAAAAGGACTTTAGGCTTGAGCACAAGCTATCAGGAAAATCTATGGTGACCTGGGCAAATTCATGCAGGGCTGATGTTGTAGTTCAGTTTTATGAAAGCGTGATATCTTAAAGGCAAAATATAGATTTCTGCAATTTTTTTTTTTCTTTTTTTTTTGTGTGTGTTGGTGGGGGTTTGTTTGTTTGTTTGGCATTGTTGCTGATTTTTAAGTATCTGGCCTATATAATGAGGTCTTGCAGCTCAGTTAAAAAGGAAATATTTAAAGCATTCTGTCAAGGCCCTGAAAGCTCTAATAGGCCTTCATGACCTTGATTAGTCCCACCTGAGGACAATCCTAAACTCTTGTCCAGGGCACCAGAGAACATTTAATTACAGTTCTGCACCTTCAGTCTCTGCCAGAGCTCTGCTGTAGCATGTACGTGCTCTGCTTTCTCTCCAGTTCACATGTACTGGTTGTGGTCACTAAAGGAGAATGTGTTGCTATTGTTACACATTCTAATATCATTCTTGAAAGATGTTTCATTGACATAAGTACTTTTTACTTAAAGAACTTAGTACAGTTAAATAAAATACACAAGAAGTGTAGGATGATCTAAACCAAAACAGAATGGATAAGATAACACAGAGTGTTCTATTTCCCTTTGAATTATGGAAATGCAAATTGGAGTAGGGAAAATTACTAAAACTTAATTATCAGTAGAACAGAATTTGCAGCTAAATTTAACTGATAATTCTTTTAAATACAAGTCCTATGCACAGGAAATTTGCAGACATCTAGTTAAAATTAGTTTAGTCCAGATTTTTTCCAGTTCTCAAGTGAAAACAAAGGGAACTGTTGAGATTTTAAGACTTCCAGTGAAGTGGCTAGAGTGTTTGCCTAAATGTTCTCCAGAAATGAGTGAATATACACTACAACCCTTGGTGCCCAGCTGCTTTGGAAACTGAATCTACTCCAAAAGGAAAAAAACAAGGCTACAGCACTTCTAGGGTGAAGTCCCTTATGAATTAATCTACTGAATATTACAGATAGCTGTAGTATGAGTCACTCTTAACCTAAATGGCGTGATCTAGTATATTTTTAAAATTGCCTTCTGAGAAGTGTCAGCTGGCAATCACTTTTCATTTTTTTTAGCTCACATCATTATAAAGAGCATTGGTAAGGAGAAAGAAGCAAGTCAGAAACACCTGTTTGTTACTCCCCTCCGTTCAGTGACTTCTTTTGAAGTGGAAGGTAATTGCAAATTCAGGGACTCCTTTTGGAAATATCTCCAATAACAAATTAATAAATAAGATTGATAAGAAGTCAAGGAACTTTAACAACATACATTTTCAAAAATTTGACCTAGCAGTTTAGCTGACAAAATGTGCTTATCAAGGGTAACAAAGTTTCTAATATTAAACTGAGCTAAGTGACAAATGGAAATGGATACTAGCTAGCCAGTTTGGCTTAGTATCAGTTGATACTAATTGATACTGATGACTGATGGAGTTCTGGGTTAGCTTAGTTCTTCCTGACTTACCTTGTTTTACTTTAGGAGGGGGTGGGGGTGGGGGGGCAAGTGTGTAAAAAGATTTTGTTAGCATTACTGTTTGACAGAGACTAATTACAAAATAGGTACAACTGTATAACACAAGATTTGCTTAGAACAGAAATAGCAGTGGGTGTTTCTGGTTGTTTTACTTCTGGACAGTGCTGAAGAAATTATCAGGTAGATGAAAGCTGTGTACATTTTCTGTTGATCTTACTTTGTCAGGCATGTGAGGGTACAAGTATAAATAATAGTAAAAATATTTCAAACGCAATCAAACCACTCCTGCAGGTTTTTCCAATAAAGTGAGAAGACCTGTATTTTCATAGAAATAAATGTATTTAAAATAAAAATTGCAAGCAATACATTCCTAAAAAGTGAAAATGAGATGTTTTATCTCACAATAGTTAGTAAAGTAGGCTAATCCATTTTGTTCTAAACTCACATTATCCCACCTAGACTACTCCTCCCACTGAAATAAGTATTTATGTTAGCTGGTAACGTAGCTCCATTAGGCAATCAAGTGTTCATTCAAAGTTACATCCACCCTCTCTTTCAGACACCTATAATAGTTTGAAGTATGGTATGATTAAATACTAAGTTTTATTTCCTGGTCTAGCAACTATGCACACAATTGCTGTGCTTGATTTTATGTCATTATTAACTGTTGAAGATCATTATTAACAGAAAACTAAGTTTACCTGGAAGTTCTCTGTGAAGTGCAATAGATTATTTAAGATTAACTGCTGAAACGCTCTACATTATGTTTGATGTCATGGAAACCATTTAAATCCTGATGTAGATAAATGTACAAGAATATATACATAAATATTGGAAATCGAAAAAAACTATCATCTTTCATTTTTCCAGTTAATATGACTGTTTGGGAGGCTAAGAGCTATAAGCATTAGCTGAAGAACACATCAAAGTCAAAGCTGTTAAACTGAGAAAATAACAGAGCAGAAAGCAAACTATTTTGCAGCACAGGAAGTTACCAAGTCATGGGACTTCCCACAGACTATCAGAAGAATAATTGCAGAGGAAGCAGATGTTAAGTGACAAGCAAGTTGTAAGGTCTCTCATTTCAAAGGGATCATAAGGCAGAAATTAGGCTGGAGCGCTGGAAAGTGTGAGATGCCAGATGAAGAGGCATGAAATTGTAAGTACCCTATTATTGTCTGATTTCTCATATGTTCAGGAGGGCAATTTTGTGCTGGCGAAGTACCACCAAGACTGCACCTGACAACCATAGATTCCATTAACAATTCTCCTACTTACGTAACAACTAAAAAATGCTGAGGCTTATTCTAATTATTTCAGGACAAATAAGTGTTTGTGTTTTAGGAAGCTTAAGTAAAACAGCTATAAAATCAAGGATCATACTGTTTTGTTTAAAGTTGACTTGATGATCTCTTGAGGTCCTTTCGAAACCCTGCAATTCTGTGAAATGTTGTAATTAAATGTTGCCCTTCAGTTTCATTTTAGCACCACAGCTGGTATTAATCAAAACAGGCAGAGAGGATTCAGAGTTGATAATGTATTTAAAACTCATCTTTTAAGCAGGTGGGATATTCTTCAGCTTCCGAACAAACACTATTTTTTTCGGTAACTAAAGGAGACTGCAGTGAAATCAGATGCAAAGAAATAGTGACCATTTTTTCAACACTGGAATGTAATCTTATATGAACTCTCATGAACTGAGACTTTAGCAACACATACTCATTTGAAAGAAAAGATAGTACAAAGCGCAACAGCAAGTATATCTTAAAAGCTTTGTGTGCTGAGTCTTTTTTCAGAATGACAGAGGCTGTTCCTGTTCAGAAATGATTGCTCTGGCAACAGCTGAGAAAAAAAAGTAAAATTAATTATCATTAGTTAGAAAACCCGTGGATTCCAAAAAAGCTGGCAAATGTTTGAACCCAAACCCATATTTCATACTCAAAGAATTGATACTTTCCCCTTCTTGGAGAATTTGTGTAGTAGTTAGTCTTTCTGAGAACAGAACAAAATTAAAGACAAATATAAACAGTATTGGCAATCACTGGCAATTTCCAGACACAAAAGAATTATTTGAGCAGGTTGCAATAGGTTGTTTATACAGTTCTTTAATATATCTGATCCCTTCATGTAAGAGAAGGAACTTATTTGTTTCTTTATATTCCCTATCTGTTATGTTTTATTCAGTCACTATTCATGCCCTAGTAGTCCTGTGGTTTCTAGTAGGAGGACTAGTTTTGAATTGTTTAGTTTTGTTTTCTGAAATAAGTGGATGGTAATACTCTTGATATGCTAGAACTACTAATTCGAAGTGGAGACTGACTTCTGCTGTTTCTTGTAGGCTCCTTGTTCTAAAAATAGGCTGTTGGGATGAATTTTAACTTGCTCAAATTAGTGATACATGCATACAAATTATGTAAAGAGAAAGCATATCAAAATTTTGATTGTGTGGAGTTGAAAATGCACAAAAGATCACCTTGCCAAGAAGACATGAGGTGCAGGGGAATGTATGTTTTCTGTAATTTCCTGTTTTGTGTAACTTGCATGTAAAAACTGAAATGGCAACTTTTGTGCAGAGTCGTACAGGAGATGTACAGGAATTATTCTATTTTTACTAGAATTATGTATTTTTAATAGAATGATGATTAGACTACTAACCACTAGAAAGTAGCAGCATTCCAAATGTAAGAGGGTAAATGAGAGTGCTTGCCTGTAGTAGATTTTAACATTTGGGTATTGCAGGAAGATACTATTTATTTATTTATTTATTTATTTATTTATTTATTAAATTTCTGCGTAAATTTCCCAAGACTTACTTAACAGGAAATTTTTAAGGCATGGATCTGCCTGATGTGAGAATAACAGTTGAAAACATGTCACCAGAACGACGTATGATTTTTGTACTGAACATCTGTAGCCAAAAAAATATATATATAAATAAATCTTGACACTATTTCTATAAATAAACATGACAGACATTAAAGGTGAGGAATGTTATCAGGGTTTTGTTTCATCTCATCTCATAGTAAGTAAATTGTCTCCCCAGAAGAGTAATGAAATCCAGATCAGTGTTCTCTGATTTTTACTTTCCTTAATCACTTTATCACTTTATCATTCTCTTGGATGGAAAGAAAAGTTTGGAATCATAACCTGCTCTACTTTTAGAGTTTAATTGCAGTTCCTGTCCTTTATTGTTGTTACATGCATCTCAGCCTTCAGACTAACTCCATTCTCTGCAAAAAGCTCTGTTGATTGCTTCCAAGAGACTTTTTTTCCATGTCACTGTTGGCTTATTTTTCTTTAGAGTTTTCTTATTTTTTTGAAATTTTCTGTGACCATTTTTTTTCAGTCTCACTTCACATTTATGGAAAAAAGCTTTGATCCAAATATTCTCATTGTTTTTTAATAGACAGCATGTTAGTAATTATATATGGTTTACAGTAAAACAGTAGCGGTATTTGAAGAACTTTGACACAAATTCATTAGCAATTGATGCAGCCCTACTTTCCTATATGTTGTCATCTTCTTAATGCAAATTACAGCAGACTAAGAAAAAATTGTGCATAACCAAGTAATTTTAACTTAGTATATTAGAAAAATGTATTCTGTATTTGTAATGTAATCTTAAAATTGATAAATACCGTTGCATGAAAGGAGAAACAGAGATTAATTGTAACTTTAGAGAATAGGTTTATTGTATGTATTTTAAAATAATTCTTACTTTTGGGGAGGAAAATTAAAGCAAACAAACAAAAAATAGCAGGTGAACAGCATCTTGGATTTGCAAATTCCATCAGACAGCAATGCTTTCATCATATTCTTCAAAGAATTCTGAAGTTAGAATAGAGTTGCAAGTAAAGTGGCAATACTGTGAGTTCATTGGAAAGTAGTCATTTATATATTCATTTGAAATTGAATGTGTACAAGAGGACAGAATACATACAAATTACAGGCCTCTGATAACTGTACTGATGTGTTCTTGTGATGTGTCACATTATCACTCTCTCACGGCCACTCATAGAATAAGTCAGGGTTTTGTTTTCTTTCAGTTTGCTTTCCATCTGCATGATGGTATAAGCAGGTATGAATGCCAAGCTGTGAACATATACTGGAAAATCTCTACTCTGTAGTGTGACTTTGGAATACTGTAGAGAACTTTTGTTTCAACGGCAAGGTTAAAAAGTTCTGTACAGTGTGTAGTCCCAGCAAAGGTCACAAAATCCAGTCAAAGTCCTTTTGAAATCAGCAACCGATTTAGAATTGCAATCTGAGTTTTCGTCTTTAGTGATAAAAGGAATTTACCTTTAATGTAATCATGGCCTCCGGAATAGCGGTAAAGGTCATTCTTTTTGAAGCTCTTTTCCTAGATAATGTTAAATACCATCCCACAAGATTTTGAACACAGGGCTCTAAAAATATTTTATTTTTGATTTGGGAATCAGGACCCAAACAGAGCAAGATTATCCTTAATCAATTCAAAAGAATTCAGTTGGATTTTGTGTTTCACAGCATTGCTTTTAAGGAAAGGGGAAAAAACGCTTTTACATCTCTAAATACCAAAAGATAGAGGATATTAGTCTTCACTAATGCAAAACTTTTTCCTCGAAATAATGCAAATTACAGTCAATTCATTATCTTGTATAGCAAAACAGCCAAAACTGTCCATGGGACCAATTCTGACTAAAACAGAATGTAGATTGCTTCATTTTTTCAAAATGCAAAGGCAGCGTGAAAAGTCAGGTCTTCATATTGAGGTATGAAAAACATAACTATTGTGTTTAGGAGAATACAGTTAATGAAAGTCTGATTTTGTTTTGTTTTAGAGAATGTGAATAGAAGATTGAGTTGTAAAGGTCTGAGTCCCAGATTGTGAAATTCAGCAATGATACACTGTGGAAAAAGGCACGTGTATGCTATTGTTGCGTGTATTGTAATTTTTGGAAGTATTTTAATCTGCTCCTGGAAAGGTCCTCAGCTACAAGATAATATAAAAAGAAAAATCTTCCCCCAGGGAAAAAATGTCATTCCAGTTGGTCAATTCTGCAGGGGAAAAGCTGCAAAAAATGTAATAACACCCTTAAAAGATAACAGAACTTTTATCATCTCCCCATACTTTGATGATAGAGAAGGCAAAGTCACACGTGTGATTGGGATTGTTCACCATGAAGATGTCAAAGAACTATACTGCTGGTTTTGTTGTCAGCCCCTTGGAAAGATATACATATCAAAGGCAGAAATAGATGTTCACTCGGACAGATTTGGATTCCCCTATGGTGCTGCAGATATAGTTTGCTTGGAACCTGGAAACTGTGATCCAACACACGTATCAATTCATCAGTCTCCACATGGAGATATTGACCAGCTATCGAGGTTTGAAATAAAAAACCGCAAAGCAGAGCCCTTCTCTGCTGACTTTACAGTATGCATCTCTGCCATGTTTGGAAATTACAACAATGTCTTACAGTTTATACAGAGTATGGAAATGTACAAGATTCTTGGGGCACAGAAAGTGGTGATCTACAAGAACAACTGCAGCCAGATGATGGAGAAAGTCCTGAAGTTTTATTTGGAAGAAGGAACAGTAGAGGTAATTCCGTGGCCAATAAACTCATATCTCAAGGTTTCTCCTAAATGGCGCTTCATGCAAGATGAAACACACATTGGCTACTATGGACAAATCACAGCTCTAAATGACTGTATATACCGCAACATGCAGAGGAGCAGGTTTGTGGTTCTTAATGATGCTGATGAAATAATTCTTCCCCTTAAGCACTCAGACTGGAAAACAATGATGAGCAGTCTTCAGGAGCAAAATCCAGGAACTGGTGTTTTTCTCTTTGAGAACCATATCTTTCCAGAAACAATTACCACTCCCATGTTCAACATTTCATCTTGGAACACTGTGCCAGGTATTAACATACTACAGCATGTTCACAGAGAGCCTGACAGGAAAGAGGT